TTAAAATGCCTAACTTAAAATACTTTTGACAGGCAACACAGAATATATGAATTTTTTGCCTCCATAATCTAAACAAATTTAATTTTCTTTACCAAAAGAACCCTTTTGAGCAGTAGGCTAACAATGCAACTAGCAATAAAAATCTGTTAAAACCGTGAAATATATGGCAGCATACAATGATTCCAACAGTAAGTCAATACTGTTCAACATGCAACACTTTCGTACGTTTACTTTTATGATATACTCGTTTAGCTATCTACTTTTGCTTTACTTTTTACTGCATTCGGAAAGCCACTTTTTTCTTAGCAAAATTCTACCGCGCTAAAAAATTGTTTGGATTCCTTCATTCTTCCAGACAGAAGAATTTTTAAATCCTTGTCAGGTCTATCCTTCCCCGTATCAGTCCATAAACTTGATTAAGCAACGTATATTTTTATAATCTATGAAGCACTAATTTTTCAAAAGAAAAATCACAAATTCGTTTTCTGCTAAAAATTTCTTTGGTTTTAAAAACTTCAAGTCCCTTCCTCTAAGAAAAGACTGTACGAAGCATCAGCTCCTTCTCCTGCAACGGTTCGTCTGTAATCTCTTGATTCTAGCTATAAATTATACAAAGATATGAGAAATTTGCAAGTTTATTGAAGACAGATAAAAGAAATTTTTGGAATATCATGCTCAAATTACAATTGACTAGTGGCTAAGAAAGTACAAAAAGTAAATAAATCTAAAGAAAATTTATAGAATATTATCACTACAAACTGCACTTAGCAGTCGGCCTCACAATTCTCGGTAAATACGGCAACTAAAGATAAATGTTGCAAAAATTCCGAGATATACAGATGAAGCAGAAGATGAAACAAGCGTCCAAAAGAAGCTGGAGAAGCAATTGCAATTCAGCATTTTTATGTTCTAAAAAATTTCAAATTATCTTTTAAATTTTTCAAAAATACCGATCTGGAACAATCAAAACGCAATAAAAGCATGCTTACACATATAGCAGCATAAAATACTTTGAATTTTAAGATCAAGATCATAAAAACGACCTGTAAAGAAAGCCTACCACAAAATGAACGCTTCACAAGTTTTAAAAAATTAGAACGCTAGAACGCTTACAGAACCCCTCAGTTTCAAAACTTAAGAAAAAAGTTATTGAACACACTGGTCTACTCCCAATTAATAAACTTTGTCCTCAGTATTTAATTCCAGCAAAAAATATCTATGCAAAACTACTTAATGTCAGTATCAAAAGTAACCTTTTTTTTTTTATGTTTGTACCTTTAAAAATCTGTCACTCATGTATGCAAATAAAAATTTCTTCTCACATTGCAAGCAAATGTCAAAATGCATTTTTCATACCACCATTTTCATTTGTTATACACGTTACTGCTTATGTTACAGATTACGGGCAATTGTTAAGTAAGAATCGTAAAATTAAGAAACCATAACTGAAAGTCTACAAATAAAGGTTCAAAGAGTAACCACACAAATCGTTGGAAAAAGATTGTCAAAATAACTATAATTCGTTCCAGCTTTCTTTATGCACCATACTGCAATGCTTTGACAAATATAAGTAATAAGCTGGTGAGCCGTGTAAATCTAAAGCAATTATTTAACAATGTTATAACGCGCACTGCACAGGAACCAATAGTACCAGGTATCAGCACTACGAAACATAAGGAGCGGTCACTTAAGAAGTGGGCTTAATCCACAATTCATTAAGTGAGAAATCCAGAAAAATACTTATTGAACTGGAACTTTGCCAAGATGACGAAGTTTCTAGTACAGCAGAGAAAACGGATTGTCGTTTTTTTGCTTGTGCTTTACCTGTTTCCTATTTGATGGTTAGTCGAGTCTTCATTTGTTGGTGACAGATGGCAGGTGCTGAAATAATTCTGCTGAACTGAATTTGAACTCAGTTTAAGCTATTTTCGGAACTGTTAGTGAAGCTTTTAAAGTTATTTAGTATGCATATGTCAGGGCTGTTTTAAAATTCAAAAAGCAAAGAAAAGGTTTTTTGCCATCCTCCATCAAACTTCTTCTCCCCCTCTTCTTGCTGCTGAGATTTGTAGACAGTGATAAAGATGCAGTTGAAGAAATCAACCTGAACAAAAAATACCATGCATACTTACCATCATCTATAAATGCATTGTAAAAAAAGCAGTTGTTTAAGAAGAAAAAATTCTAAGACAATGTAAAGCAACTGCAGTGGTACTGTTGTTGTTGCTGTTGACCGTTGAACTGTTTGGAAGTAACCGACGGTTTATGCAACAGGAGCATAGTAGTGGTGTTGTATCGTTATCTATTTGATCAGAATTTTTGTAAGGAATTTTATTTGGTTTATCATCTCTTAGTCATTGTTATCATTATACAGGATTGTCTGGTGAATGGAACAGCTATACAAGATGAATAGATGTGGTCTTCGTTTGTGTCGGCCGGTATATAACTTGTTGTTTCGTAAAACTTTTTTCAATTACTAACTGACTCGAAGTTAAATGCAGTATTTCTGCTTAGCAGTTTATTCTGTAGGAAGCTTTATTTATAAATTGAAGTGCTTTTTTTTCGCAATGAAAAAAATTTTGTTACTTTGCGATGGTTGAGCTGAAGGTGTTTTTTAAATTCTTTTTTTTTGATAGTTTGTAAGTTTTAAAATTCGGAATGTTTTGAGGCTTCTCGAATTGAAGTGTCATTATTAAGTGTATTCTGAAAACTGAAACAAGTTTTTTTTTTTTTAACGTACTTTCTGTTGCAATTTTTTCACTTAAAGGGAATGGAAGGTTGTGTCTTTTCTGTATTTCAGTCACCGAGTGTACCGGTGCGTGTAATTGTATCCAGTTACTTAAATTTTTTATTTAATTTGCAAGCATTTCAGTTCTCTCGTTTTGCAAAATGTAATTTTGGATAAAGTATTCCTTTCTACAGTCTAATTTATAGTTGTTTTCATCAACTAATGTTGTTGAATAGGAAGAACAAAAAAAGTTCTCCGTTATTTATGAATGATACATTGGGAAGAACGGATTCTTGAATATTTTTTTTAGTGGACATCTTACGCGCTACACATGCACTAGTACACTGTTTACAGTATTGTAGACAGGCATATAAGTGTATTACACGTAGTTGTTTTCAGGATATGAGGTTGTTTGAAATGCGCAACAACACAAATAAGCCGGAAGTTTAAATAATAAACTACTCATGTGTTGCAGGCGTCTGAGCACCATGGAACCGGCGCAAACACATCCACCCTTAATTTCACTTTACAGTGTTCGATTTCGAATAGGGGTCTTTTTATTGGCTGCTCTTTGCATAGAGGGCCTTATGCGGAGTAATCTTAATATGGCTATGGTATGCATGGTAAACCGGACTGCCATTGCTGAACTCGGTGAGTTGTAAAAGTATTTTCCATTATTGGATGACAGGTTTTTGCAGGCAGTTTTATTTCAAAATTCAGTAGATGTGGAGGGAGCAATAATTGTTCTAATCATATTAGTTGTCTAGAATTTGTTTTTGGCTGCTTTTTTTGTCGAAAATAGAGAGAAACGAGGGGGCTTCTTGGTCCTGAATGAGCTCTCTCACTCTTTTTT